TGCTGTTTCAGCGGCCAAACCGTAAGAGATAGATAAAGAGAATATTTAAGTTATAAGTTAAGAATAGTCTGATAAGACTACAAACCGGATTTGAGTAACGTAGCACTTCCGGTTTTCGAGAAATCACGCATTTCAAACGAAACCACACAAAATCTCCGAAGTTCTCAATTAATTAAATACATTTTTATTTCTTTTTTTTTTTTAATCAGGTTTTGGTGAACATTTGTTTCACTGGTTTGCTAGTATGGTATAATATGACTGACCGATCGATGCGCCATTCTCACTCCTCCATTACTCTATGTGCCATCATGCCTAACGATAAGTGCTAAACTTGCTCCATATCAATTCGGGGAGCATCCACAAGGCGCACTCGACATATTTACGCGTTATCTAATAGCAACTGCTATAGTTACGGTTATGGCACCCCGGGCGGCAGTTAGGGCTTTACAACTTCCGTAATCTGCTGTCTGATAGTTGAGCGACTCCAAACTTTTCTTCAATACTAATAACTAAGGATTTGAACGCTCGTTCGCGGTTCAGTCACAAAATTTTTGAGTACAGAAGGTAATCTCATGTATGTAATAGGGGTGATGACGGGGTACAGTAAACGAAATTCTATTTAGTCCGTCAGTTAGATGATCAAAAAATAATGGACACGTATTTTTTTTTGGGCAATCAACCAAAACATGACAAAGTTATAGCGCGTCAAATTTGGGAGTAGGGGCTCGTGACGTCACTTTTGAGTAAATTTTCACTTATAAGTGTACTCAAACGTGACGTCATGCGACTTTTCAAATCAATATATCTCTGCAATATTTATATTATGTGAAAAAAGAATACGTGTCCAATACTTTTTGATAATCTACCTGATAAATGAAGAAAAAAAAAATAGTCATCATCCCTATTCAGGTTGCGTAACTACGCTCGGCGGTCGCACTAGAATTGTCAACTTTGGTTTATAAAATTAAAACTGTTATGGTAGTGGCGCTCGTATCTAGTTGTTTGATTTATTTTCGAGCATGAAACAGAGAGAATGGTTATATAAACCAATATCAATGAAATTGTTATAATGTAATCTTTGTATTACAAATAAAAAGAACAGTAATTCACCGTTCATTGTTGAATTTAAACAACCGCCTTTTGAACTGATATTATAACCGTTTTCTTATATTGTTTAAAACTTTCATGGTCACTAACATTAAGGCTATTATCGGGATTGTTACCATGTACCTTGTTTTTTATAAGTCTCCGATATTTCGGCACTGTTGCAAGCGCCATGATCACGGAGTAACTTACTCCGTCAACAATCCCGTTAATAGCTTTTTTGTTGCTCCATTTATGCACAAAAAATTTCACTGACGCGTGTCTCAAACGGATGAACGCGAGGTTCATGTGGTCCAGACTGGTCCGAGTTATCGTGTCCGTGAGCGGTGTCTATATGTCTTCTTTCTTCGTTTCTCTCGCATCTCGTCTTCGGGACGGGATGGCCGTCGGGGCTGTACCCCCGCCTCCGCTTCTTCACAAGTTGCCCTCGGCGCAGTCAAGCCCACTGGGTGAGACCCATGAGGGAGGCCCAGTGAGCGACCAGCGAGTGGGCGACGGACTTCAGCGCGCAGGGGTAGTGTCATATCCGGGGGTGAGTGCGGAAAAAGTTTTTTCGGACCGCCCGAACTTTTTCACATAATCCGTTAGCAATTCCGAAAGCTGTTGCATCAGGCGGGCTGTCGCTTCTTCTTGGTTGTTGCCTTCTTTGGGTGGTGGGGCTGCGGGGAGCGTGTCCGTCGGCGATGCGTTGCTCGCTCGACGGTGTCTTCGGCGGCGTCGTTTGGAGCGGCTGGTGTGCGAGGGAGGAGCGTTCGCAGGGGCCGGTGTCTATATGTGCGTTGTTTAAGCGCACTTTGTATGTCGATCACATTCTGTACTATCTATTTTGTGGTTCAGTGTTTACGTGAGAGTTGCGTGCGCACAGTTTCTTTTGAATGAAGAAAGATGAATTAAAACGTTAGTACAGAAAAGCTTTAAGAGTTATTCAAAATTTTTTTAAACCGAATTTACTTGAGCTTCACTTGAACTATGGTAACTTCATTCTTGGCTGACTTTTGACAGACAGAATAAAAAAAAAGTTTCCATAGTATTTAATACACCCACGTGAAGCCGGGAGGGGCCGCTAGTTTAAATTTTTATATATATATATTAAGCATTTAACTGCTAGAAGTTTATGTCAAAAGATTTTTTTACTAGAAAAAAATCCACGTGGACAAGGCAGCAGATGGGACTCGAACCCGAACCCTTCACTATCCGGGCGGATGAACTGAGCATTATGCTACTGCAGCCCTTGTCCGTGTCGAATTTTCTAAGGTCTAAGGTGTTAGCTCGGAGGCAGTGGCCCAACTAATATTGGTCAGGCATTGTATATTTAGCCTCCGAATTTCTCTTGCGCGATGTAGGCTTCAAAACTTCTTTAGTGTAGCGCCGGTTGCGCCATTTGTTGTATGGGAGTGTCAAGTCTTGCTTCGTCAGTTATAATAGGTGAGGAGACGTGTAAATGTCGCCGCCACAGTGCTATTAAGGCTAGCAGTTTTTGACGTGTATTAATGGACCGTTTGGCCAGCCTCTGCAAAAGTTGCCTTCCTTCCAGACCGAACTAGGAGGCCTACTCCAATTCATCGAAGACCGAAATTTAGATCGATACTTCGCACTTTTCTTACTATGTTTCTAGTACGTTTTTATTTATAATAATATTCGTCGTCGGAATATAGATTGAAGTGTAAATTTTCAATAGTATATTGTTCAAAATAAGTATAACTTTAAATTGACGAAATTAAATTGTGGCGGCGACACCTACACGCCCCACATATAACTAACATGGAGGAAACAATCCTACGCCTCCTTAAGAGATGGCACTACCGGCGCTGCGTTCAAAACGTAAGGAAAGCCTACATCGCGCAAGTGAAAATTCAGTAGCCAACAGTTCATACATACGATGCCCGACCAATATCAGTCGGGCCGCGGCCCCCGAGCTACCATCATCTGGCTCGGAGGAAGATCTACCCCTTTGGCCTTCCTACAGTGGGCTGCCGCAGCCACAAAATTTTGTTGGAACTTAGCTATCGAAAGTTCGTTTCGGAGAAAGAGAGTAGCTTCCTGATGTGCCATCGAGATCTTCAAACAAATGAAGTCAATTCTAATTAGGGCTCTACCCTAGACATTGTTTTTTTGAAATTATATCGCTTCTAAAGAAAAGTTTACTGGAAAAAAAAACCACGCGGACCAGGCAGCGGACGGGACTCGAACCCGCACCCTTCGCAATCCGGGTCAGTGCATTCGCCTTTTCGATTTTTTTTTCTAGTAAACTTTTCTTTAGATTTAAACATCTTGCAGTTAAATGCATAAAAAATAAATAAAAACATAATTATATCGCTTCTTTTTATTCCATTAGGCTGGAAGGAGTCGCGGGGATAAAGAAGGTAAAAAGTATTTTGTAAACTTTAGAAGGACAATATATTGTGTAGGCGCTTACTCATCTTCATGTAGGGCTGCTCACATTGATGAATAGCATTATTAATAATCAGTGAGAACTAGTGGCCCGCCCTCGCTTCGCTTCTGTGTAGAGCTGAAGTGTAGACCACAGTTTTTGTTCTCAGGCTTGTATTATAGACAATGACATTCTTCTTATACCTAATTATAATAGGCACGCGCCGCCAGGCCCCCCGCCCGGTAGCGTCGGAACCGCTACGTCCCTGCATTTTAAAATTTGTAATATCTTCGAAAATATTCATTTAAATAACTTGCTTTAAAGGGCCAAATTGATCTGTATGAATACACAATGTAGTAAATGTACTTAATTGGTTTAGGATGAATGTTATATTGCTGAAAATCGTTTCGTAAATAAGCTATTATTTTTCGTAAAAAGTATAGAATAAATAATGGTTATTATGGGTTATCCCTAAGAGATAGACATATACCATCGCGGTCTTTTTTGTAGAGCTTTTTTTAGGTGCACAATACTGTAGTACATTATTTTGATCTATCTCGTAGGGTTCAGCCAGTGTTTGCAATGTAAGCGCAAAAAATGTGTTTATTTACGACCTGATATTAAAAACCTCTATAATTATCAGTGTTTCTCTACTATATTATGCATGTATAATACATATAAACCTTCCTCTTGAATCACTCTATCTATTAAAAACAAACCGCATCAAAATCCGTTGCGTAGTTTTAAAGATCTAAGCATACATAGGGACATAGGGACAGACAGCGGGAAGCGACTTTGCTTTATACTATATAGTGAATAAGGGCAGACGTCAGCTGAGAGACATTTGAGAAATAAGTATTTGAAAGAACTGTTGCTGTCACGCAAATACCGTGCGATAAGGACAACAGTAGTTAACACTGAAAATTGCGTATAAAAATCGCAAAATTCGAGGTTTGGCTCTCGATTATTTTCTCCTTAAAAATTAGATATTTACTAGCAAACCAGTGAACCAAATGTTCACAAAAAAAAATGTATTTAATTAATTGAGAACTTCGAAGATTTTGTGTGGTTTCGTTTGAAATAGAAATCCCGTGATTTCTCGAAAAGTGCTACGTTACTCAAATCCGGTTTGTAGTCTTATCAGACTATTCTTAACTTATAACTTAAACATTCTCTTTATCTATCTCTTACGGTTTGGCCGCTGAAACAGCACCACGGACGGACGGACTTGTCTATTAGATAAGAGTTGTAATAGAAATTTTACCCATAGAATAATGAGTAGTAGTGCTATGCCTCTGTGTTTTCCTTTATTGTAAATGCTTATTAAATCTTCACACTAGACGTCTTTAGTGATGATGAAATTTTTGTTTATTTTTGGCATTTATGATTTTCTTTTGATTTTGAAACTACTGTCACATGTTTGCCTATGCGTTTGTTTGAGAGGATTTTTTATAGGTTTTTTAATTCATAATATTCATTTTGAAAGTGAAACTTTTATAAAATCGCTGCAAATGCATGTCGCATAATGCAGGACAGGCAGTGCTGTAGTCCAAGTGCCTAGTTAAAATACGCCCCAGTTAGGGGTCTCCTTTATTAGCCCCATGGCCTTCACACCTCACGTGTTCCCTCCTTCCTATAATCTGGGGTCCTTTAAGAGAGGCGTGAAGAAGCATTTTATGCAGGCCGGCAAGTAGCACTTTATAACTGCTGTACCAGCTATCTTCGCGTTTGGACTTTATCACCACTTAACATTTATTTATTTATTTTATTTATTTAAACTTTATTGCAAAATTACAAAGCAAATGGCGGACATAATGCCATAAGGCATTCTCTACCAGTCGACCAGTAAGAGCGTGAGAAAAAATCTAATATGACGGGGCGCAATAAAGACAAATTTAAGATAAACCAATGATACAAATACTCTTAACAGAATACACACATATTATACAATACATACATAAACACATGGTTTTGTCAGTCAAATATGAAAACGCTGTTTAATGCTACTGAGATAGTGCTCACGAACCAATCCCTTAAATGCAATTTTGTTAGGAGCTTTATGTATATTGGGGGGTAAGTCATTCCAGAGTCGTACAGCCGTGACAGTGAAAGAGTGGGAGACGAAGCCAGAAGAATGGACGGGAGTATGCAGAAGGAGATTGTCCGTTGAACGGAGAACACGGTCATGAGAATCACTCAGAAACCTAAATCTGCTTTAACATCAGGTGGGGTAGAGTCATTTGCCTACCTCGCTATAAAAAAAAAACCTCTAAACCCGGTCCTGGATCACTGCCTTTATAAAAAAATTAAATTTCCTTAAGTGCCTTGCTTTGTACGTGACATTCAAGCAACCTTTTTAGCAATCTAACAAAAGTATATTTACACCTTCCCAATCTTCATTTACCTAATTGCGTAAATAAAATGAAAAGCACAAACAGTTTAAAGGTGTTGAAATGGTCTGCGGCAGCCCTATCGCAGTGCCGCAGGGCCTGAGGAGGCCCTAAATTTCTGTTTAATTGGCGACCCGTAGCTCCGACCAGATGGTCCCGTTTTTCATATCCTTTGTGATGTTAGGAGCTCGGGGGAATGTTTTAAAAGGACCAACGCTCTTGGTGAAAACGCCAATAATTACAGATTATGTGGTTTTCGTTCTTTTGAGGTGTGTCAATTAGAGATGGGCGTTTGTAGATATTTTTGAAATCGATGCGCATCGGTATCATATAATTGGCATCGGATGCCCGCATCGATGCCGGCATCGCATTGATGTCAACTGAATGTCGATATCTTGTATCACGGATACGATGCAATATGAATTTCTACATATGCGTGTTTTGTTTGGGTCTGTCTCTTCGATTCCTTGAATCAGGACTTGAAAATGTAATCGAAAACCATTTATTTACTTTTCAGTATGTTATCTGAAAAGATTGAATGCTGGCAAAATTATTACATAAAAAATTTCACTCAGAGCGTAGATTTTGAAAGCAGGCAGGATGCCAGGTTTGGATGCGCGCATCCGATACGACTGGATGCCTTTAATGGATGCCGATGTTATCTAGTTTTTGTCATCGTTACTATAGCAACAGTGCCACAAACTTTTCTGTGCCGGTGGCAAAAATTTGAACTACAATTTATCCATAGCATTTTGACATTTTTATGACATATTTGTTCACCGCTAGCGACATCTCCATTTGCACAGATAAGTTTATGGCACTGTTGCTATGGTAACGTTGACAAAAACTAGATGGCATCGGCATCCAATAACGACATCCAGTCGCATCGGACCCGAACCTGGCATCGTTATTGAGCATCGTTATTCTACAAACGCCCATCCCTAGTATAAATGGTTGAAGTGTACTACTCGTACTGACTCTGTAAATAGTAGACACAAGGGGTGTAAGTCTCGTTATTGTAACGCAATAACAGTATTTTACCGAATATGCTATTTAGTTATTTCTAAGTAATTAAGTGTATGTATTTAATTATATATGTATTATAGTAATATAAGTTATTTACGGGATTGTTACCATGTACCTTGTTTTTAGCGAGTTTCCGATATTTCGACACTGTTGCAAGCGCCATGATCACGGAGTAACTGAAGTAATTGCGGGTAGGCTGTTATTGGCAGACATATCGGTCTACCCTCCGACGAAGTCTTTTATTGCGTTCGATACCCGTACCACTGTTCACATTCTCATTACTATAATGTAAGTGACCATGAAAGTTTAAAACAATATATTATAATTATATGTATGTTTATTAGTTAATTAGTAAATATGAGTATTTGTATTTATATATATAATACATATTTATTATTTTATAGTATAGTATAGTTCAGTAGGATAATATATTTATTTTTCTCTCACTTTAGTAGCTCGTACTCTATCGCCAAAACATCCGCCTCATACACCCACACTGGTTGACTGGTAGAGAACGCATATGGCATTAAGTCCGCCATTTACTGCATTTTTGTAATAAGGAATAAATAAGGCAAAAATAGACTTGAAACGAATTGCATTATGACGAAAATCCATAGCGAGATATTTTAGACTTTAATTGTACATACATTTGAAAATTACTGAAAAATTTACAATAATAGCTAAGAAATAAAACATCAAGAATATGGATGATGACAAAATTTTTTTTTCTTCGTTTATCAGGTAGGTTATCAAAAAGTATTGGACACGTATATTTTCTTTTTTCACATAATATAAACATTGCAGAGAATGTCAATATGGAGCTAAGTTCACTACACAATAATTTCTTAATAATTGATTAATTTAATTACACTCAATAAAATATATACTAGAACAATGAACCTAAAACTAAAAACCTTAAAAAATAAAATATATATAGCTAAAATATATTATTAAAAGGAGTCCCTTTAGGCAAGGTTCCGAAAATACTGGCAGCGTTCCCCCTTTGAACCGCTAGACTAATTCTTTGTCCGAGGTAGCTGCTTGCTCTTCGGTATATTGCAGAGATATATTGATTTGAAAAGTCGCATGACGTCACGTTTTGGTACAATTTTCACTTAAAAGTGACGGAAGTCACGAGCCCCTACTCCCAAACTTTGACGCGCTATAACTTTGTCATTTTTTGGTTGATTGCTTGAAAATACGTGTCCATTATTTTTTGATCATCTAACTGACGGACTAAATAGAATTTCGTTTACTGTACCCCGTCATCACCCCTATTACATATAGATACTCACAAAATTTCTCTGTATTTCTATTCTCCGAAAAAGGAAAGGTCTTAAAATTAATAATGGCATAGCGATAGATCTGACAGACACCATAATTTCTCTTTTCTCAGTATTTGTCTCCTACAAAGGTCACAAACTAAATATGTACATTTTAAAAAGATCGCTTTATTTTTCAAGCAATGTGTAGACATAGTAACAGTGTCATATTGCGCAGCGGTGAAATAGGAATGATGCCTATTTTTTTTCTTCGTTTATCAGGTAGATTATCAAAAAGTATTGGACACGTATTTTTTCTTTTTTCACGTAATATGAACATTGCAGAGATATATTGATTTTAAAAGTCGTATGACGTCACGTTTGAGTACACTTTTAAGCGAATATTCACTCAAAAGTGACGTCACGAGCCCCTACTCCCAAACTTTGACGCGCTATAACTTTGTCATTTTTTGGTTGATTGCCCAAAGAAAAAATACGTGTCGATTATTTTTTGCTCATCTAACTGACGGACTAAATAGAATTTCGTTTACTGTACCCCGTAATCACCCCTATTTGGGAGAACTTATTGTGGTTGGGAACATCGAAGACAAAAGATGGCCGTTCTCTAACAAGAGGGACCGACTAAATCAAAGATTCATCGTCATCCATTTCATATAAGCGGTTGTATGAGAGGCGCTGGACAGAAAACGGTGAAACCAGATTGTCCCCTCCAGATGCAACCCTGACACTGACCAGGAGGCCATTCACCTAACGGGAATGCTTTGGAAAACGCTAGTTACGCCGTTGGTTTTCAAATACCTAACGATCATTTTTTTTAATATTGTCAAAAGAAAAAAAAAAAGAGCGCGAGGCATTTGAAAACCTCAGGCGGCTAGAAATAACAAAATAAAATCGTAAGCGTTAGCGTTTTACAAAGCATTTCCTTTAGGCGAATGGCCCCCAGGATCCTCAGACATAAGGGACCGACCCTAGAGATGGAGAAAATTTTATATTTAATGTTATGCCCGATGAGAATTATTAACTATTTCCTTTTTAATGTAAAAAGAATAGGTGATCATAAGCTTAATGGTCTGATTTGAAATTAAAGGACAAATACCTCAAATACAGAAATTAGAAAGAGAAAACGAGCAGTTTCGCAACACTTCTCAAGATCTAACTCTTCAGCTGCATCATTTGGAACAGCTGGCTCGTACCAACAATATTGAAATACAGTGCGTTCCGGAACACAAAGCCGAAAACGTGTACACTATTGTCCAGCAATTAAGCACAGTCATCAAGTGCCCAATAACTGAGACTGATATTCAGTATTGCAGATTTTGATAATTTGTTTAAGGGTTGTGAGTCTTTAATGTGGATAAAATTCGAGATATCAGTTTTACGAACAAAGACTTTGCGGTCTCTTAACCACACGAATTTGTAATCGAGTTGTTTAATTTTCAGGCGAGCAGCGGCATGTAGCAATTTTGTCTCTGGAGTGAGATGTTCGGTCACGAATACAGCACTCTTCTTATCTCCACCGTAGCCCAGATGGGCAGTATTCAATCTGTCAGTAGTATTGTCTGGATTGAAATTTATCGCTGAAGCCAGAAATGTGTCCCTGAGTCGACGACTATTAAATTTCACCAATATGGAACGTGGATGGGAATTTACAGTGTTAAAGGACCCCGCAGAATCCTTATGGAAGCTGGCTCTCGGCCAATTTTTCTGTAACTTTGGGAGATGATAGCTCATGACACGTGGAATAAAAGAAAAGGTAACCCAGAGACATCCTTGAATGCAATAGCTACATTGAAACTAGAATGTAATAATTTTTCCATGTAAGTTCGGCCTCCCAGCTTACATGCATACATATATATGTCGGCGGATGGCGTCTCACTCGCTCCTTCGAAACGTAAAACCGACAACAAATGTCATTAGTCAGTGTACCATTGCCTTGTGAAACGTCAAGTAATGACAGTGACAGCTGTCATCACTTGGGAGTGGTCTATGCTAAGGGTAGTATTTAAGGGGCTATGCTTCATTGGAAGGGGCATTCGGCATTCAGACGTGAGCCGCGATAGTGAACATACGTTAGCACAGAACTCTCCACGCTTCACAAAGCAATCCGTTTGTACCTTGGCAATCATAATTGATTTTGTAAAGTAATAAGAAGATTCAAATTAAACGTTAGCTTGGTCACTAGACTACAGTTTTATTTTCGGGAAATATCATTGAATACCCAAGATGGCGGATCAAGACGAACCACGTGGCCAACCGCCTATCCCGCTCGCCCCCTTCGACATATACATTTTCGACTTTGACACGCTGTAGCTCCTCATCTATCAACTTTTGGCCATTGGCCTGTGGGGTCTTTTATTCCACGTGTCATGATATATCATCTACCAAAGTTACAGAAAAATTGGCCGAGAGCCAGCTTCCATAAGGATTCTGCGGCGTCCTTTAACACTGTAAATTTCCGTCCACGTTCAATGCTGATGAAATTTAACAGTCGTCGACTCAGAGACACATTTCTGGCTTCAACGATAAATTTCAATCGATACAATACTACTGTCAGATTGAATACTGCACATCTGGGCTACGGTGGAGATAAGAAGAGTGCTGTATTCGTGACCGAACATCTCACTCCAGAGACAAAATCGCTACATGCCGCTGCTCGCCTGAAAATTAAACAACTCGATTATAAATTCGTGTGGTTAAGAGACGGCAAAGTCTTTGTTCGTAAAACTTTCTTACGAAGAATTTTATCCACATTAAAGACTCGCAAGCTTTAAACAAATTGTCAAAATATAAGGTTATGTACCAATAATATATATATACATATATATATATACTAGCTGACCCAGCGAACTTCGTACCACCATAAAAATAGGAGCTGGTGTTTATCACTTAGGGGTATGAAAAATAGATAGTAGCCGATTCTCAGACCTACTGAAAATGCATATTTCATAATTATAGGGCAAGCCGTTTCGGAGCAGTATGGTAACTAACATTGTGACACGAGAATTTTAGATATAAGATTTCTTATTCTCATTAGTATTTCTTGGTCTGATTGTTTTTAATTTATAGTATATATTTATTATCTATTGATCCTCTATTACAATTAACTTTACCTTTGAACATCAAAGGCACCTTATCAAACAGTTAACATAATCAATTTTCTTTTTACAAGACAGATTATGAAAATTTTATAATGGATCTTAATGATGTATGTTGGGAAGACGAATTCAAAAATTGCTCGAACGTGGACGACATGCTCTCAATTTTTTATAATTTTATACGTTACCAACCAAATGATATTGAAGCGGAATATTAAATCTAGTAAACTCTGTACCGATAGCGACGGCAATGATGCGAACCGCACAATCCAATGGTTAATGTTACAGCATCATCATTATCAGCGAGGCGGTGCTAATAAAGTGTTATTGTTATGTGTGGTGCCTGTTCACTGGCTGCGGAGAGGCAGAGGCGTACCCGAGAGTACATATTGTATATGTCGACGGATAGTCTGATAAATCAAATTTTCCAAAAAAACTAGGGATTTTGCGAAAAGACGGATAATTAGACAACAATGATGACGTTTCTCAATCAAAGCACAAGCCGCCTCAGTAAGATAGAAAAGTATCGCTGGCTTATTATAAATATACTCAGGTTGTGATAGTGACGTGCGAGCAGAGCGAGCGTAGCGACCGCGTAGAAGAAGCGGGCGGCGAAGTGCCAAAAAAAAATTAATTAACAGTAAGATTGAGCAAATTGATGTCATCGCTCCTGTCTTATGCGCATTTTCGCAAAATCCCAAGGGTTTTCTCAGAAAATCAATTCAATTTTCATAATCAAATCCAATCATTCTGCGACATAGATAGTCAGTGCGCAATTAATAATAAACTATAAATATATAAATAAATAAACGCATAATAAACTAGCGGCAAACGGCGACTTCATCAGCGTTAAAATCTTTTTATTTTTCGGGTTAATATATAGCCTATGGCACCTACAAATAACGTGACCTTCTATTGGAAAAATAATTTTCAAAATATTTTAATTACATCCAGAGGTTATCCTCTTATTTTTTTTTAAATTGATACTTATGACTTTACCACGCACACTGGGGGTTATCACAACTTTAATTAACAAGTCTCTGCAAACGAGTATTTTCCCTGATGCATGGAAAGAGGCTCGTGTTAATCCTATCCCTAAAATCAATAATCCATCACATCTGAAAGATCTTCGACAGATTAGTATTCTTCCATTCTCATCAAAAATAATTGAGAAACTAGTGTGTTAACAAATTACCGAATATGTCAATTCAATTAATATTCTACCATCTAAACTATCTGGATTTCGGGCTAGTCATAGTACAGCTACGGCTATGTTGGATGTAGTTGATGACATTCTTGCCGGACAAGATGCGGGAAGAGGATCCATATTAGTTCTTCTTGATTTTTCACGCGCTTTTGACACAATTAATCATGATCTCCTTTTGTCGAAATTATCTTTTTATGGATTTGAAAATCACGCTGTAAAATGGATTTCTAGTTATCTAAGTGGCGGCTCACAGCGTGTTATATTAACCAGTGATACTGGAAATCGAATAATTTTGAGACCAGCAATTTTGCGCCGAGATGTCCCACAAGGGTCTATATTAAGTCCAATATTTTTTAATTTTTATAGTGGTGACTTGATCACATGCATAAAAAATTGTAATTATCATGTTTATGCCGATGACCTGCAAGTTTATTTATCTTTTGAGCCTCAGGATACATCCTTTTGTATATATCGAATTAATGAAGACCTAAATCGTATAAATGAATGGGCATCAAAGAATTGTCTTGTTCTGAATCCACATAAATCTAAATTCATCTTGTTGGGATCGCACACACAAGTATCTACAATTAATTCTTTCACTCCCGATATAAAAATAGGTGAAATCGTTATCGAGCAGGTCACTGAGGCTAGAAGTTTGGGAATTCTCATTGACAATCTACTAAAATTTCACAATCATGTTGTCCAGACTGTAAGGGGTTGCTTCTACAGACTCAAGGTGTTGTACCAAATACGCGACTGTCTCAATGTTGACACCAGAGTAAGGCTATGTGAAACATTAATTTTGTCAAAACTTAATTACGCGGATGTCGTTATTGGCGAGTGTCTCTTCGGTTATACCAAAAAGCTTATCCAGCGCGTCCAGAATGCCTGTGCTCGTTTCTGCTTTTGTATCCCACGCAGAGCCCATGTAACCCCATATTTAAATAAAAGTGATTTAATGAATATGAAATCTAGACGTTACTTTCATTTTGCCAGTCTTCTGTTTGGTATTGTTAAAACACGTTGTCCTGCCTATTTATTCAATAAACTTACATTCTCCCATCGTAGTATAAGAATAGCATCCCGTCCAGCACACAACACGGCGGCATTTCGTGGCAGTTTTCGGTACTCTGCCACGAAGTGTTGGAATAATTACCTCTTACCTCCTCCTTTGAAAAGCTGTTGTAGTATCGTAACCTTTAAACGTAATTTTAAAAGATATCTGCTAGAATTACAGAAAAACGAAGTTCCAACTCGTGGAAACTGCTGTGTTGTTCGCTGATTGCCGTGCTAATTTACATTCTTGTGTAATAATTACATATAATGTGTATGTAGTAAGTTTTATAGTCAGCAACTTCCTAGTACCGAATATATTAAGCTTAAAACATTTAATAATTCATTTAATTAAATTTTCTACCTAAGTGGCTATTCGTACTCTCGTCCCTACTTTTCAAGGTAACCACGGAAGACCAGCGTCGTCTCCCGCAAGTCTTAGGGACCACCCAGTGGCTGACCACCGAGGACCCCGCAACTCCTACGAGCGCTTTACAGCATAATATCCGCTAAAAAAGTCCTGCGAATACCTTCTACGCTGCTTAATGCGAAGCCGCGGGGTCCCCTTTAGGGATTCTACCACGACAGAGGTTATCCCCTACAAATTTATATTTTTACTAGTGGCCCGCCCTCGCTTCGCTTCGGTGTAGAGCTGTAATGTAAACTATAGTTTTTGTTCTCAGGCTTGTGCTATAAACAATGACTTTATTTATATAATTACACGTGTTATTGTGAGTCAACCATAAAAGATAGACATATGCTGTTGCGGGATATTTTTTAGACAATTTTATGTAGAATATTTCCGTCATACATGATTTCTATGTAACTTTAACCATTAAGGCTGCACACGCGACGGAAGCTTAAAAAATGGAGTAACTTCTCCCGTTTTCCCAACATTTCCCTTCACTACTCTGCTCCTATTGATTGTAGCGTGATGAAAAGTATACTATAACCTGCCCAGGAGTATGAAAAATAATTGTACCAAGTTTAGTTAAAATCCGTCGAGTAGTTTTTGTTTCTATAAGGAACATACACACAGACAGACAGACAGACAGACAGACAAAAAATTTACTGATTGCATTTTTGGCATCAGTATCGATCACTAATCACCCCCTGATAGTTATTTTGAAAATATATTTCATGTACAGAATTGACCTCTCTACAGATTTATTATAAGTATAGAAGATAATATTAGTATAGATTAATCATAGATGAATGATTGGTCTCGCTTCACTCGAGACCAATCATTCATCTACGAGATTAAGGACAAAAGACAAAAATAAAAAACCACAAACAGTTTTATAATGTCAATCGTAATTTCCTACAAAATGAGTTCACATTTTCGATTTATTTTCTGATTGTTTCATATCACGGAACAGATTTTTCTGTTCTGCGTTTCATATATCCGGTGTGTGATTTAATACGTCCGCTGTGTCAATCGGGTTTGTTAAACTATACTATTCAAGAATTTTTAGAAGAAGTCTTGCTGGTTTTTGGAGTTTACTCCTTAAGAATCCATTTGCATATATAAGGGGCCCGGTATGAGAAAAATGTGAGGAGTAAAATCTATCGATGAATGACCTCGTTACGTTTTTGGTGCGCATCCTATGTCGCGCAACTTTGACAAACAAAGATGACGGATTGACAGTAATACAATTTTTAAAATCTGTACTGAATTTAGATATTGTTTCTGATAGAGCAATGGGGACAACGAGGTATGGTACAAGTATATGAAATGAATAAATATATATTTTTATTTATATATGTATATTATTTTCACTAATTTGTTAATTTACCCTTTCATACAGTATCAATCTTTTTTAAGTTAAATAAACTCTTTTTGCGTCTGGTTAGACTATCGAACTTAAGAAGTAAACTCCAGTCGTGCGTCGGAGCTGACACCCAAATTTTTTTTAATATCTTTATTTATGTATTGAACTGTTAATATTTATATCTGAAAATTATATATCTATCTATCTTTATCTATTTATTTATAACTAGAAAAAATCGACAAAAACAAAATTTCCTTTGGATATTAAACGTGCACAGACGAGGGACTCCTTTACTATTAAAATTAAGGAATATTTCCTCAAGCTGGACTCTGCCTGATCTTTTTATCTGTTCATTACTATATATTGTATTTTATAGCTTCCTTACATACTTACTATAAAGCATATTATTATATTTATGTTTATTTATTTATTTTTACAATGCACTAGCCCGCTGTTTCTACTATTCTTATGGTATGGTTTCATTTAGCCAAAGGTTGCCTAGTCTCGATTGCTACCTTAGCAATAAGGCCGCCTTTTGTGTTTTTGTTCCTGTGTTTTATGTTCT